ACAAGTCAAGGGCAATAACTCAAAATCCGTTCATCGAAAATGCTTCAAGTTAGAACTTGTCCGAGATCTTATCAATTCCAATGATCACACCAAGTTTCATCAGAATCAGTTGAAAACTGTAGCTTCAATCCTGCTCACGAACTATTTTTAACAGATATTGACGCGTTTTTACAAAGTCAAGGGCGATAACTCAAAAACCATTCATCGAAAATGCGTCAAATTAGAACTTGTCCGAGATCTTATCAATTCCAATGATCACACCAAGTTTCATCAGAATCTGTTGAAAACTGAAGTGTCAATCCTGCTCACGAACTATTTTTAACAAATGTTGACGTGTTTTTACAAGGGCAATAACTCAAAAATCGTTCATTGAAAATGGGTCAAATTTTGTCCGAGATCTTATCAATTCCAATGATCACACCAAGTATCATCAGAATTGGTTGAAAACTGTAGCGTCAATCCTGCTCACAATTTATTTTTAACAAATTTCAACACGTTTTAACTAAGTCAAGGGCAATAACTAAAAAACCGTTCATCGAAAATTGCGTCAAGTTAGAACTTGTCCGAGATCTTATCAATTCCAATGATCACACCAAGTTTCATCAGAATCTGTTGAAAACTGAAGTGTCAATCCTGCTCACGAACTATTTTTAACAAATGTTGACGTGTTTTTACAAGGGCAATAACTCAAAAATCGTTCATTGAAAATGGGTCAAATTTTGTCCGAGATCTTATCAATTCCAATGATCACACCAAGTATCATCAGAATTGGTTGAAAACTGTAGCGTCAATCCTGCTCACAATTTATTTTTAACAAATTTCAACACGTTTTAACTAAGTCAAGGGCAATAACTAAAAAACCGTTCATCAGAATTGCGTCAAGTTAGAACTTGTCCGAGATCTTATCAATTCCAATGATCACTCCAAGTTTCATCAGAATCGGTTGAAAACTGTAGCTTCAATCCTGCTCACTAACTATTTTTAACAAATTTCAACACGTTTTAACAAAGTCAAGGGTAATAACTCAAAAACTGTTCATTTAAAATGCGTCAAGTTAGAACTTGTCCGAGATCTTATCAATTCCAATGATCACACCAAGTTTCATCAGAATCGGTTGAAAACTGTAGCTTCAATCCTGCTCAGGAACTATTTTTAACAATTTTCGACGCGTTTTCACAAAGTCAAGGGCAATAACTCAAAAACTATTCATCGAAAATGCGTCAAGTTAGAACATGTCCGAGATCTTATCAATTCCAATGATCACACCAAGTTTCATCAGAATCGGTTAAAAACTGTAGCTTCAATCCTGCTCACAAACTATTTTTAACAAATTTTGACGTGTTTTTACATAGTCAAGGGCAATAACTCAAAAACCGTTCATCGAAAATGCGTCAAGTTAGAACTTGTCCGAGATCTTATCAATTCCAATGATTACACAAAGTTTCATCAGAATCGGTTGAAAACTGTAGCTTCAATCCTGCTCACGAACTATTTTTAACAAATTTCGAAGAGTTTTAACAAAGTCAAGGGCAATAACTCAAAAACTGTTCATCGAAAATGCGTCAAGTTAGAACTTGTCCGAGATCTTATCAATTCCAATGATCACACCAAGTTTCATCAGAATCGGATGAAAACTGTAGCTTCAATCCTGCTCACGAACAATTTTTAACAAATTTCAAGGCGCTCTAAGTCAAGGGCAATAACTCAAAAACCATTCATCGAAAATATGTCAAATTCGAACTTGACCGAGATCTTATCAATCTAAAGCATCACACCAAGTTTTATCAAAATCAGATAAAAACTGTAGTCTCTATAGTGCTCACAAGAAATGTTGAACGACGGACAGGGGCGACGACAATATACGACCATATATTCATGTGGGCGTATAAAAACTTAAAAACAAAGAATTTTATGACTGTGATTTTTATATTTAAAAGTTACTTGCTTTTTCTTTTTAGGTTATGTTGGCAAACCTGATCTTGTCTTAGCAGGAGATGGACGTTGTGATAGTCCTGGCCACAGTGCCATCTTCGGTACATGTTCCCTTATGGATGTGGATACCAATCTTGTTCTGGCATCAAATGTTGTAAAAGTGACAGAGGTAAAGAACTCGCACAACATGGAAAATGAAGGACTGATAAGAAGTTTTGCTGATCTATTGGTAAGATATATCAAATTAATCTTCTGCAGACTATGAGACAAGATAAAGATAGCTTGCCAGGCTACTCGAGGCTAGGTAGCATGCACCCTCTGGTAACTTTTTTTTTGGAAAATAATATGGCATAACGCACCCATCACAATCATGATATACTCAATTCTTAGTCTTCCTTTTCAAAATGTTTCCAAGCTAAAAATTGAGCAAGTTTCTAAGAATTAAACAGCAAAAGCCCTAATCAAATATTTTCTTATTTTTTCAATAGGGTTTATCTGGGGTAATAATATAGTACTTCACCAAGTTTTGTAAATATCACAAGAATTGTGTTCTGTTTAATATTCATTAACTAAAAATGAATAAACAAAACATATTACCACGGCAAACATGAATAATAAGTATGTAATGATTACCACAATACATGTTGCATGCATTCAGCATATACCAAAAAATGATAATAGGCTTTAAAACTTAACATTATTTTTCAGTATGCAGATGTCAGTGTATCTACCCTTGCCACAGACAGACATTCTCAGATTACCAAAACAATGAGAACCATGTATCCACATATCTGTCACTAGTACGATGTTTGGCATTTAGGAAAGAGCCTAGGAAAAAAGTTAACCAAAGCAGCCAATAGAAAGGACTGTGCTGACTTGCAGCCTTGGGTCAAATCCATCAAAAATCATCTGTGGTGGTGTGCAGGCACGTGTGATGGAGATGTCACTCAACCTAAGGTAGGAATTCTAGTACTATTAAAAAAACACATCATATTATAAACATATAAAAAATCCCTTTAACAGAGATGTTATATTGAGGTTCAAGATATTGCAATATTTTAAAAGATGAACACTGTATCATGTCATTCTTTTGCACGTGGTTTGAATACTGGATTCTTATTATTAATATTTACCCAAATATAATGCAGTAATTTACTACAGCATTAATTACCATCAGTCTGCCTATTCCTCAAACTTAATTTCCAATCTTACTCTCATTTCAGGAAAGGTGGATGTCAATCCTTCGACATATAGTCAATAAGCATGAATGGCATGTGGCAAGTATGTATACAGTAGGAAATGCTGACCCCAGATGAAGAACGCAGTAAAGATTGGCTTAAACCAGGGTGCCCTTCTCACAAAGCCTTACAGGCCATTGTTTGTGACGAGATTCATGAAGGACATTGAATCAGTAAGTAATCGCAATAATTGAATTCACCAAAGCTAAAAGTAAAATTTTGTCTGTCTGTATGATTATGTAAGATGCTGTTTTCAAGTTCATGAAAAGTGCCTTGATATTAAAATGAAATTTTTGTTTTAGATTCACAAGAACTTTGTAACAAGGGCATTGTAAGAGTTACATGTAAAATTCAAATTCATGTGATAACATGCTGATTTGACATGCACCTAGACTTAATACTTAAACAGTCCAATTATAATCGAACCCAAATTTCGTTCGGTTTTTTAAATACTACAAAAGGGCCTAATCACATTGTTAAAGACAAACTGTCAGCTTGAATTTAAAAAAACAAACGAAATGAAATCTGGGTCTAATTTTAATTAGACTGAGTACTTTAAGCTTGTCTTGTTTTATGACCTTACTTTCACTCACCTCATGGAGACTTAGGTCCGTATTCACAAACGTTGATTCACATAGTCATCGGTTAAGCCTAATCAGTGAAAGTAGTCAATGATTAGTGGAAAACTTTAGTTGGTATTCTTGAAAGGTAAAGTTTAGCTAGTTAATGATTATAGAAATGTAAGAATTAAGTTAGTCTATGATTAGGTTAAACCACTGCTTAACAGATCTTTTGTCAATGATGTTGTGGGCCCCTTAAAAGGAAGTGATATAAATCACATGTTACAGTTCAGTAGAAATCAAAATTTGAGTCATGAATGGAATTAAAAAAAGGGAAAGGTCGTTGAACTGGTCAGAAGAAGAGAAACAAACATTAATTGACAATGTAAAGGTACATATTATTGACATTGAAAATAAGAAAACTGATGGAAATGCCAGCAAAAGGAAAGAAGCTTGGTAAAAAGTTTTCACAAATTGCTGCATGGTACATGGCCAGGCTAGATCTGATATTAGAAATCTGAAAGAAATGTGCAGGCGCATGAAGGACCAAGCAAAAAAGGAAATCTCAAGTCATCAAAGAGAAACCAGGAAAACTGGAGGAGGGGATCCACCAAAAGTATTGTCACCTTTGGCAGTATTGATGAAAAACCTTATTCCAAATGAATTCATCCAGAGGATCAATCCATTCGATGATGATTTTGACTTGGCATGTGGCTCTCAAAGACGAGTTGTATCACCAGTGACACAAGTGTCAGATGATGATAACAGTAACAATGCTACAGTAAAACGAGTGAATGAGGAATCTGTGGATACCATATATAATATTGATGACAGTGACAATGTGTTTGACATTGATGTTGAATCACAGATTGAAGATAAAAATGACAGAAAAGAAACAGAATGTCCTGTCGAGTATGTTTTTGTTTTTTTTTACATTGAATAAATTAATTTTGGATTGGAAGTTAAAGAATGTGAGCTTCAAATGGAATCAGTCCCTTACATCTAAATGTGAACTTTGGTGTGGCAGCAAATCCTGAATAACATAAGTCGCGCATCAAATATCTATTGAATAATGAAATTGTACGCAAACTAAACATCTGATTTCTATTGTGAGAAGTAATGCAGGATAATGAAATCAGCTTTCGAAGTATTATTATCAATTTTTTTGCTTTATTAAGTCGCAATGAATTATATTGTGGATAGAATCAGAATCATGATCAGTTTTAAAACTTGTTAAACATATTTGAATTCGATCATATTAAATATCATTATATATTTATAATTAGAAAACGGTCTTCATTTGGTTCAGATAATTCAATATCAGCATCCAAAACGCCCAAGATGGATATAGAGGGCACTATTCTGAAATTTTCTTCTGAAGAACACCAGTTGAAGATGGATATTATGAACAAAGAACATCGAGCCAAAATGGATTTATTCAATTTGGAAAAGAAGGTAGCTGAATCATTACTAAGAAAACTGACATCATCAGAATACAGTACCAATACATGTAGCCCTACTGTTGATTGTGCAGAATAGTTTTCTTTTTTTAAGAATAGTTATGAATATGAAGGTGTTGGCATTTATGTTAACTTTCTTGAGATTTTAAACAATATAATGGCAATACCTACTTTATTAGTATATCAGATACCTAACTTTATTAGTATATCAGATACCTAAGACTACATTATTTGTAACGAATATCTGGTATTTTAGTTGGAGATCAAGGATATCCATGCCTTCGCTACCTTATGACTCCGTTAGCTAATCCGACTACGTGAGCTGAAAGACGTTATAATTGAAGTCATGTGAAGACAAGAGGAATAATAGAACGATTATTTGGAATTTTCAAACGCAGGTTTCCAGTTCTCAGACTGGGGATAAACACATTATGAGAGGGTATTGATTTCTATGAATAAATGAATAGTGTTTAATCTTTGTGTTGACTTTTTTTTATATTATCTTAATAGATCCAGATATTCAATTGCAAACTTTGTATAAATAATTTGATTTTTCTAAAGACAAAAAAAAATTACGCAACAGCTAGGTTCTACCACTAATCAGCCCTAAAACTACCCCTCTGGTGTGATTAAGTTTTCACCTCTTTTAATAACATATTAAACCTTAATCATCTTTCGAGCATACCGTTTTAACTTTAGTCATTGATTAGTTGAATTTTAATCTATGACTAGCCTTAGTCGGCCTTTGAGAATACGGACCTAAGTGTGTAGAATATGTATGTTCACAAATTAACTGATGTAAAGCTCGTCGAATTAGTGACAACATAATTTGTACAATTGTGAGTGTATATATCAAAACTAGACAATGAAATTGCTTTTTTTTTACACATTAGCTTTTTTATTCTTAAAGCATCAATTCCGTTTTGCAGGTGACAAAAGATTCAAACTTCAGTGGAGCAAAGGTAGCCAAGATTTCATGGTGAGGAAAGTCAAAGATCCCAAGGATTTTACATTCAGGGAGGAGCTCATGGAAGCCACTTTAAGCAGACTTGTCCAGGGTAAGGATATATTTCTTTTCTTTCAGACACAACATTACAACATTTTGATTGTACAACTGTTTAAGATGTGAAGCAACTAAATCTGAAAGAACGTTTTTGTTGGAGGTGGAGGGGGGAGATATTTCAACATTGTATCAATTTTTTTTTCTTATTATTTTAGGGACTGTTCCCAAAGACGGTGCCAAACCTGTACCAGAACAAGCAATGAGATCCATAGGCAAGAAAGAAAAACCAAACAAGTTGGAAGCCATACAAAATCATGTCACAAGATTCCACAGAATTTGCTAAATTAAAATGATAATTGTGTAGAAAATAAAAGATACAGATTCTAACATTTTTTATTACTTAATTGTAGTCAAATCAATGACTGTTGCTTGTGCAAAAAGTAACATAAGCGAACAAGTAAAATAAATTTTAGCATAACAATAAGAATTCATAAATTTAAAAAACTTTTTACCCTTTCTGACAATAGCCAAATTAGTTCACAAAAAAGATAAGAATAAATGTTTGCAAATTCTGTTTTACATCCAACAAATAGAAGAGGGCAAGTGTCATTTGTGTCACGCCATGTGTTATTCCTGATCTAGAAGATGGACTGGGTCTCCATTCAATGCAGCATGAAATCCTTCATAATTTCCGTTTACTTCTGGGAACCTTTTCCTTATAGCCACAACTGCACAGACTGGTATTACCTTTCTACATTTCTTACCAAGTTTGCCATATACCCACCAGGTGAAGCTTCGATAGGCTGTATATCTGTACAATCTATAAGAATAAAATTAAATAATTTAAAAACATTGCAAAAAACATTTTTACACTGAGGGGAACCATCTATCATGGCATTATTTATTATCTGTGCAGGTTTTAAATTTTTTAAAATTTTAGCCATCATTTTTATACGCCCACATGAATATGTGGTCATATATTGTCGTCGCCCCTGTCCGTCGGTCAACATTTCTTGTGAGTACTATAGAGACTACAGTTTTCATCTGATTTTGATAAAACTTGGTGTGATGCTTTAGATTGATAAGATCTTGGTCAAGTTCGAATTTGACATATTTTCGATGAACGGTTTTTGAGTTATTGCCCTTGAATTTGTTAAAATGCAATTTGTTAAAAATAGTTGGTGAGCAGGATTGACTCTACAGTTTTCAACCGATTCTGATGAAACTTGGTGTGATCATTGGAATTGATAAGATCTCGGACAAGTTCTAACTTGACGCATTTTCGATGAACGGTTTTTGAGTTATTGCCCTTGACTTTGTTAAAACGCGTCGAAATTTGTTAAAAATAGTTTGTGAGCAGGATTGAAGCTACAGTTTTCAACCGATTCTGATAAAACTTGGTGTGATCATTGGAATTGATAAGATCTCGGACAAGTTCTGACTTGACGCATTTTCGATGAACGATTTTTGAGTTATTGCCATTAACTTACGAAAAACGTGTCAAAATTTGTTTGTGAGCACAATAGAAGCTACAGTTTTCAACCGATTTTGACTTGGTGTGATCATTGGAATTGATAAGATCTCGGACAAGTTCTAACAAGAGATATTTTTGATGAACAGTTTTTGAGTTATTGCCCTCGACTTTGAAAACACGCGTCAAAAGTTGTTTTTTGCCCTTGATTACAGCTGTGTGATTTAATTGTTTGTTGTATTTGGGTTATTGATATTGATTTTTAAAAATTTTGTAGAATTATTCAGCATGAATAATTTCTTCAATATGAGAAAATTCGTACTTTAGTTACTAAAGACTGGTTTATTATTTCTGACAGCTGCCAGTGGGCGTATGTTACCTTACATCGCAAGCTATCTTCATGAGAATTAGAAACCAAATTTACAATGGAAATGTTGGCCTTAGAATGTCTTTGAGTTGTTAAAATTATTAACATTTATAAGTGTTCTTTAAATTGAAACACATTTCTCTCCTTGATGGTTCAACCCAAGAAAGTCACTAAATTTGGCTGTAAATTTCTGTGTGTTAATATTTATATTTATATTTATATATTTTATATATATATGCAAATACATTCTTAGACCCACAGGGACAGAAGCTTTTTCAGGCTGATAATTCCATTCTTGTGAAGAGAACGGACAAAACTTAAAAAAAACTTTTTAACTGAGAGTAGGATTTTTATGTTCCTATATTTTGGAAACTACAATGGTCATATTTACACAAAATGTCAGTAGATTTTTGGTTATATAAAAAAAATAAATATAACAAATAAACAGACCTATTAGAAAGAGGATCTCTCAAATCTTCAACTACAACTTCTTTCAAGAAGTCCAGACAAGCTCTTTTGAACAAGTCAGTGTTTGCAATAAAGTTAGTCCCAGGTTCACAATCTTAAATTAAACCAAAAACATCGTTTTCCAGTAGTATGTGTACATTACCTTATGCCATTTTACCATTTGCCCATTGTATGTACACTACACCCCCCTTTACCATATTCCTATATTTTGGAAACTAAAATGGTCATATTTACGCAAAATGTAAGTAGATTATTGGTTATATGATAAAAATAAATATAACAAATAAACATAACTATTAGAAAGAGGATCTCTCAAATCTTCAACTACAACTTCTTTCAAGGAGGCCATTAAAATTTCCAAAATAACAGGATCCAGACAAGCTCTTTTGAACAAGTCAGTGTTTGCAATAAAGTTAGTCCCAGGTTCACAATTTTAAATTAAACCAAAAACATCGTTTTCCAGTAGTATGTGTACATTATCTTATGCCATTTTACCATTTACCGGTTTTACCAAATTGACCATCCGGTGTATGTACACTACACACCCCCCTTTACCATATGCCGACTTACCATTTCATATACTTAAAAACCTAAACACCCTACATTTCATAAATTCTTTCACTAAAAAAGACCTAAACTCCCTATAAATTTTTACACCTATACTCCATACATTTCATACTCTAAAAACACCTTCAATCAATTTCCTACATTCCATCAAAAAAAAAAGCATATTAAAAATATTTAAACCTTAAAAATGGCAAATAAAATATTAGATCCAATCTGTAGATTATACGATCCGATTCGTTATTCATTTAACAAGAAAAAAGAGGATTATATTATCATCTCACCGACAGTTGGTTCTAAATTCCAATTGAATGATGGTGGTAGAATTAGTTTCGAAATAAATTCATTATCGAATTGGTTGCTTCTTTCCGATGCTTATTTCAGATGTGATTTCAAAATTAAAGATGGAACTCCCAATGAAAATCGTGTACCACAAACAAATACAACGTTAGAAAACAATTTCTTTCCATCTTTATTTAGCGAGATGGTTTTGGAAGCTGATTCAAATCCAATACAAACAATTAAACACCCTGGGGAATTCGACACAATGTTGAAAACAGTTTTCTATCCTAAAGATTTCGATTCAGTCTCAGGTTGGATACCCGATGTTGGGGATGGAAGTGTTTTAAAAGAACCGGTAGGAAATCTTGCAAATGATGCTGATTTAGCTAGAGTGAGAGTTGTTGCTCGAAACACAATAGAAAGAGTAGCACGAGCAGCTAATCATGGTTTCGAAAACCGAGTACTTCAGTATAATAAAGTTGTTGAGAATAAAAGGTGGGGTAATTACGTAAATTGGAAATGATATCCTTTATTCGGTCTGTTGGAACACAGAAAGGTTTCCATAGGGTTACCATATAAAATTCATCTACAAAGAGAAATCAACGATAATAAGATATTTTTTGGAGAGATTGGTTCAGATGCAAAATTAGAAATAACGAATCTCCAACTTTTCATACCCGTAATAACGCCATCAATTGAAGTCGAAACGAGAATATTCAACTCATTAACTAAAGATATTGAAATAGCTTTTCTTCATCGTAACACGGTAGGCAGCATGACTTTAACTGGAGAATCCACCACGTGGCCAATCACTAACACTATTAAACCAGCAAGATATATATTGGTTGGTTTCAAGAACTTAGCAGATTCTCAAACGAATAACAATAATGTCTTTAGAGTGGCAATGAACCAAACTCAAGATCGTATAATCCCTAAAGTTCAAGTAAGATTAAACAACGATAATTATCCTAACCAACCTTTAACAATTAATCCAACCACAAAGGATTATAATGAATTGTATAGAAACTATAAAAACATGTGTGAATTATTTGGAAATCCACCTCAGTTTGAATATGTAGATTTTGCACTTAATCATCCAATCTTCTGTTTTGATCTATCAGCTCATCAAGAAGATCTTTTCAAAACAGGAGTGAACACAAATATTTATATTGAAAAAACACAAGGAGATGTGACCGGGTATTGTTTACTACTCGAAGAAGCAAAACATCTAATTAAAATAGCAGATAGAAGAATGATAAGAATTGAGTAAAAAATACACCCTTAAAAATGAAACCAGAAACTTTAGTTATGAAAATAATAGAAGCTATTGAAACAGCTTCCCCAAGAAGACGATATAGACTTAGAAAGAATTGACGCGAACGCAAAAGAAGGTGGATTTTTACCTTTCCTTCTACCTTTAATATTTGGTGGTATTGCAGCGGCGGATGCAGCTACTGGAGGAATATCTGCCGCAGTCAAAGCTGCCAACGCAAAGAAAGCAGCTGATGCTAAAGCCGCTGAAGAACGTAGCCAAAGGTTTAGGAGTGGGAGATATGATAGGAACAATAAAAGAATTTGGAAAAAGATTTGGCGAAGAAACCAAGAAAACTGTTAAACAAGGATTAAATAAATTAGTAGATAGTATTGACACGGGAGAAGTCAAAGTCAAACATAAGGGTAATGGAATATTTTTAAAAAATATACACACTGGAGAAGGATTATTTCTTTCAAAGTATAAAGGAGAAGGAGAGATTTTTAGAATAAAATAAAATAATAAAAAATGGGTAAAAAATTAATCATTCAGAAATATTTCCTAATAACTCAATGTTCATGTGTATATGCGGTAGTTCCGGTTCTGGGAAAACTCATCTCACTTTTAACATGTTGACAACACCAAACCTTTTAGATTTCGATTCTTTGTATATCTACACAACAACACCAGAGCTATCGTATTATCAATTCCTCAAAGCTTTAGAATATTTACCAAAGAAAGACGTTCAAGACCTATTTCAATATTACGAAGAAAACGAAGAAGAAGTGGAAATAAAAGATATCATAGATAACTAAATCGAAGTAAAGAATCTTACGAAAAATGTTAATGATCTAGACTTGTCTAATATTGATAGCAAACGAAAGAACTTAATATTGTTTGACGACTGCGTAGCGCAAAGAAATAAAGCTGTTCAACAAGAATTCTTCACGAAAGGAAGACATCACAACTGTCACTGCATATACCAATCCCAATCTTTTTACGGGATGGATTCTATGTTCATTAGAAAAAATGCAAATTGTTTTTTATTATTTGAATTAAACGATAAAGATTTATCTCAAATCATTCAGTCGATAAATCACGGAATGGATAGAGATGCATTTAAAAAGGTTTGTAAAGCTCAATGGAAAAACCCAGATGATCATGGATATGTATTTGTAAATACTAGAAAACCTGCAGGTGAAAGAGTTATGATCGGCATATGTTAATTTTTTTTTTAAAAATGAGTAGCGATTGGAATAATATTTTAAAAAGAAATAGAGAATATATCAAAGCTAAGAATAAAATAAAGACCCAAGTTGAAAATAACAGATTACAACAACTCGGATTAACAGAAAATCTACAAACTCTATTTCAACCCATATTAAAATCTCAAGGGGATATTAAAAAGAAATTAGCTTTAGAATATAAACCACCTATAGAACCCACACCTCCTATAGAACCTCATCACCCCAAAGCGATTGAATATGATGGTATTATAATTAGGACATTAGATGATATAAATCGTCTTTTTTCAAACCCTGACCCAGATTTACCAAAGAGCATTTCACCATTCGTTGATAATCAAGGTTTATTGTTTAATGGATTTAGAATAATATTTAGTCCAAATTCCCCTTTATTTAAAATCGATACAAAAGACTTTATATTAACATTAACGAGAGGATTAATAGATTTAATGAATGGCGAGGATGTTGGTATTGCCGATTATAAGGATTTAGTAGCATACTCAAAATTTCTAGATGCAATAAGAAAGTTGGGACCCGAAACAAGAAGATCGAAAGAAGTTAAACCATATATTTATAGAGCAATTGAACATGATGATGAATACGAAGTTGACGAAGTGGATGATTATGTTGAAGACAACAATTCAATCACACAAGATATAGACGATTTCGAAGATATGGGGCATCTGGACAAGGTATAACATTTTTATCCGATAATAATGAAGAATTACTTAATAGATTAGAAATAATATTAGCGGCTTTTCTCTTCACTAAATTCAAATAACTTCTAAATTTTTTAGTTTGTTTTTCATTAGGAATAACTATTCCATCAGTAAAACTCTTTCCCCATGGTTTATCAAATTCATTCGTTACATCGTGACCACTAGCTAATCGAATATAATCGTCTACCTTAATCTTATATTTAGAGTATCCCTTAAACGTTTTCTTTTCTTTTAAAACACCATCGGAAGTTAGAATAATATTGTATTTAACTTTTGGCGCTAAATATAAACCAAATATGATTCGACCATCACCGTAATCATTCTTTCCTTTACAATAATCATTTTCGGACACCAACCCAGCTTTATTTAATTTATCCCAATTTTTAGAAGAAGTGTATAAACTATCGGTATCGGTATAGTATATTTCCGGCTTATAAAATCCATCTATGACGTGAATAAAATTGTTCATTATTCTTTTACTGTGAGATAATATAAATGTACCTAAATGAGTGGGTGTTAATCTTGTAGAATCCTTTGGAAGAACAAACTCTTTTTCTTCGTCATTAATCTCAACAATGTATTGAGTCTCATTTAGTTTGTCATACTTCTTGACGTGTTTGTCGTAATTAAGGCGGAAGGTTTCTTCATTCCATAAATGCAATGAGGTATTTCTATCCCTAGATTTACCATATAAGGAATTATCTAACAACTTCATGCAGTTACTGGCAACCACATATCCTTCCTTTTTGTATTTATTCCTTAATTCCTTCAAAATTAAAATATAATCTCTATAAGGTGGAGTTTTAAAATTTTCTTCGTATACTATACCATCTAATATCTTGAGTATTTTACCACCGGCTTTAACTATTTCTTGAATTTCGACTGATGTTAAAACGTCTGAACAGAAACCATTTCTGAACCTGATTTTACTCCCAGTTTCCTTCTTACCTATTCTATTCATAAAACTGATATTATCTTTAGCTGGTATGGGTTGGAAGAACATGTTGGTGGGATATTTAAACCAGACTTTTAATATTGCCGTCCTAGGTCTGAATTTCTGCTAATTAAAGAGCTTGACAAATTTTTCATTTTCTTCTGGTAGAAACGGTCTTGCACTTTCAGCTTTTGGATATTCACCTTCTGTCATAGCAGAGGCGTACAACCCATTAACGTCAAATGCCATCAGTTTAGAATAGTCCAGCTCTTTGAGTTTAGCGTGAACTTCCGTTTTATCTTTTGGGTTAGCACTGTATTCTTTGAATAAATCTATTATTCCTTCAGTGTCACTTTCTAAATACTCCATTAATATATTACAAATCTCATTCATTTTATTCGTTTTAAATGATTTTCTGTTAGCAGAAACTCTTCCTCCTTTAATACTTTGTCTGATAAAATATCTTATAAAAGGATGAGTATGTGAATAAACTTTTTCTATTTTTTCTTTTTCGGTGTGTTTCGGAACCATTCTAGTAGTTTCATACCATTCTTCTTCTACCATTTCTTTATGGTAATGATATAAATAATACCAACCCTTTAAAGATAAAGAAGGAGCCGTTAGATTGTTGGAAATATTCTGAAATACAACTTCTTTCATTGCTTGATTGTATTTGATCAAACAAGCTTCGAGACATAACGTATCTCTTTTAGCGTAAGGTTCCCATTCGTGTCTAAAAGATTCCCAATTATCTTCGGTGTATTTAACAATGTCTACATTCATTATTTTTCTTAAATTCATCGGTAGATTGGATGATGCCGCCAAACTAGATTTTTCATGTTGTTAGGAACAAGATTATGTACATAACTAATTATGCTCTTCGTCTTCTTAGGACCGTTTTATAAATAGAAGTTTGTACAAATCAATACAAAACTCGTTACGTATTAACTTATGTCATATAAATACATTCTCACCAAAACGGCCTTCTTAGGACCGTTCTATAAATAGAAGTTTGTATTTCACGTTAACAACGACATATAATTACATGAGTAATCAGTTGAACACTGAATTTAAAGTAATAGTAGTAATGATAAATCAATACAGACTAGCTCGCAGCTAGAATATTGTCACGTTACAACTTCTACCATATATGTTTCAAAACGGTCCTAAGAAGACCGTTTCTAATAATAGAAGTCGTTTGCCTTATACTACACAGCACGTGCTAGCCTATAATATGACAAATCATCGTGACTGTGTTGGTTTCACATGTTTGTTGGTTTTATATTGATTCAGTGATTTATGGCAATTAAATCACCTTATTTCCTAAATGTTTCCTCCTCTGGATTATTTCTTAAACCATGTTTAATATTTGAAATCATTCCAACTAATTTTGAAATTGGAAACGACAAATTTTGAAGTTTTGTGTAAGAAGTTTGGCAAGTTTTCGCAATTTTCTGCTTCTTTCCATAACACACGAAAAGCCTAATCTCACACGAGTAGAACGTGAAGCGTTAAACTTACTTAAGAAAGACAATAGCATTGTTATTGGAGGATATTCAGACTCATACGCTTAAATGTAGTCTGGATATCATAACAGAGTAATGTCCCTTTAAGACGAATTGACCAAGGCGGTCGTTTAGTCCTATTCTATGATTTAATCTAGTCCGCATGTCTTGAAACACTGCTGTGTATATAATGTTTAGTTTACAATATAATTAATACTTTAATGAAGTCTTCTCTGTTATAACATGTTCACCAAAGAACATACCATGGCGCTGCGAACGAAACAAAAGTAATTTTGAACTGTAAAATAGTGGGAAAATAAACTTTTAGTCACAAATTTATTTTGACGAAAAGATGAATAACAAAGATGGCTGCCCCCATGTAAAAACCGGAAGTGTGCTTTTTACATCGAATTTGGAACTTTTGTGAACAATTACACAACTAACTAGTCAAAATGAGTGATAGTGAGGATGAAAATACATCACGCAGAGCAAAAGGATCATCTACAATAGCCACAGGAACGCCAGTAATGATAGACCCTGCGATGATTTCGAGTATTGTTGCTCAAACAGTTACCGCTGTTTTACAGTCAAGACAGATGAATGAAAATCGTCGGAATCCTCAGAATAATGATAATCAACAGGAAGTAAGAAATCTAGGTGGAGATAAAATACCCTGGAGTCTGTTGAAAACATTGTGTCCTGAAAAGTTGGATGTTTTGATGAGTTCAAGACTACGTCACCGCACTTGGGAATCAGCATTCCGATCATTCATAAGGGAGGCCAGAATAGAAAATAAACCCTGGGAAGTAAAACTTACAGCATTACAGACGGCTATGGTTCCTGAAACATTCTCAAAGGTCAATGCACATATGTTACAGTTACGACCTGATGAAAGGGGTGATTTTGAAAATGTGATGAATATTGCAGAAGACTTAATAGAAGCCAACCGTCCAGTATGGGTTGCTAGACACCAGTTCAATGCAGCAGTGCAAAATGCAGACCAAACCTCAAGACAATTTTATTCTTGCATTGCTGAAATATCTGAAGATTGCGATTTTTCGGAAAACTTTTGTGTGAATTGTAAACGATTTGTTAATACTTATGAAACTTGTATTTTCAACCAGAAGCGAAGATGCTCGAAAAGAGATGTTGAAAAAGAAGAAATTGGATTTGGCAATGGCATTAGAAGAACTGGAGGCAGATGAAAATTTAAAGAAAACACAAATAGAATTAGAGAGGCCTAAACAGAATGTAAATGCTATTGGTCCAAGAAGACATGAAAAGAGATCACATAGCAGAAATGATAAATTCAAAAGGTCATTAAGTAGAAATGAGCAAACTAAGTGTAGCTATTGTGGTTATAAACAATCTCATAAACAAAGTGAATGTCCAGCATATGGTAAAGAATGTCACAACTGCAAAGGACGGAATCATTTCACATCTGTATGCAGATCTAAGACGAAAGAAAATGGAGACAGGGATAGACCTTTTCGACAGAAGAAACTGAGCAGAATAGTCTGTTCAATAACGAAATCCTTTGCACAGACAGTTGATGTTTATATTGAAGGTCACATTATAGAAACTGAAATAGACACTGGGTCAGATTGGTGTTGTGCTCCAACCAATAGAATAGCTGAACTAGATGATGATGTAGCTAATTTATTTCCTCCAACAACTGAAATGTTAAATACCTGTAATGCCAGTGGTAGTAAAATGGATATTATAGGATATTATGATGCAACTATAAAGTTTGGTGATAGACAAATTACAAAGCCATTAGTGTTTTTTAATGATTTGAACTCTTTCATTTTATCCAGAAATGCTATAATAGAATTAGGCATTGTTACCATAAATACTAAGCCACAATATTCATTGAAGGAGATTTCAATTCACGATGAAAATCATCAACCAAACCAGGTGACCAGTAAATTAGATGTTATCTTACAACCAATGGAAATGAAGAAAATTGATACACATAAGCCAGCAGATAAAGTTACGGCTGAAGACATTCAAAGAGAATTTTCAGATATATTCTCAGCTCAAGTCCAACCACTTAAAGGAGGTCCCTTTCATATTGAGTTGGATGAAAATGCTATTCCTGCCAAGGTACATTTTCCAAGAAATTTACCACTTGCATACTATGATAAACTGAAAGCTGAATTAGCTCAACTAGAAGCTGAAGGTCACATAAAGAAGGTCACGTACCCGACAGACTGGGTTAGTCCCATAGTAATTGCTCCGAAAAAGGGAACTACAGATATCAGAATGTGTGTAGACTTTAGAAAATTAAACATGTTCTGTTAACGTGAATACTTTCAGTCAGCAGGAGTCGTAGAGTGTGCCCAGATGATAGAGGCTGAAGCTGCAGTACATTTTTCGTCGTTTGATGCTAAAAAAGGGTATCACCAAATTGAATTGTCCGAACAATCCAAAGACTTGACAACTTTTTTGACGCCCTTTGGTCGATTTCGGTTTGAAAGAGCTCCATTTGGAATTAATTCTATACCAGAACATTATAACCGTAGAATTAGTGAAGCATTACAAGGTCTTAAAGGAATATCAAGATTGGTGGATGATACTCTCGTGTATGGAAAAGATCATACAGAACATTTACAAAATGTTAGAAACTTTTTACAACGCTGCAGGCAAGAAAACATACGACTCAATCCTAAGACGTTCAAATGGAAACAATCTGAGATAGAATTTGCTGGATTGAAGATCAGCAAAGATGGATTTTCTATACATCCGAAAACAATAAAGGCTATTGAAAAGTTTCCAGAGCCAGATACGTTGAAGAAAATGAGATCATTTCATGGTTTAGCCAATCAACATGCTCCATATGATCCAGCCTTAACAAGAAAACTAGCACCTCTTCGTCACTTACTCAAAAAACAACGAGGTCGTTATAAGATGAATAAAGATGAACAGCAAGCCTTTGTTGAAGCAAAGAAGCATCTTGCATCACCATCAACGTTAGCATTTTTTAGACCTGGATTACCTCTACAATTATACACGGACGCTGCGTGTATAACAGGATTTGGTTTTGTCCTGAAACAGAAACAACCCAATGGTAATTGGATGCCCATTATGGTTGGAAGTCGAAGCTTAACCGACGCTGAAACGAGATATGCACCTATAGAAAGTGAAATAACAGCATTAGCCTGGAGCGTGAAAAAATCGAAGAAGTTTTTGCTAGGTGGACCTAAATTTACAATATTTACGGATCACAGACCCCTAGTATCATTAGTCAATTCTAAAAGATTAGACGAAGTTTCTAATACCAGAATACTCCGGAATTTATTGAAATGTATGGACTACAACTGTATAGTGGAATACATTCCAGGATCCAGTAATATCATAGCTGACGCTTTTTCTAGAAATCCAGTTTCTGAACCAAACAAAGAAGACTTTGAAGATTCAAGAGCTTCATCTTTATATGTCAAAGCAATACAATCTGCATCTATGGACCAAGCCCAATGTACATTAGATTTAGAAAATGTACGTAATATTGCTGACAATGATCCTGAATACCAGTTGTTAAAAGATACTATACAGCATGGTTTTCCTGATAGTAAGAAACAACTTGATGAATCAATCCGAGACTATTGGAATGTTAAAGATGAATTATCCATAAGTGATGATAATTTTATTCTGTATGGAGTTAGACTTTTAATCCCAAGAAGATTAAGACAACATGTTTTAAATGAACTGCATTCTGGACACAGAGGCATTGTTGGTGTAAAATCTAGAGCCCGATTAGTTGTTTATTGGCCTAGAATTGATGCCCAGATTGAACAAAAATGCAGACAATGTAGTTTATGTATGGAAGATAGACCTAGTCAACCAGCCGAACCAGAAATTCATCTTCCAGTTCCACAACGATGTTTCCAATATGTATCAGCCGACTTTGCAGATATAGACAATTGTAAATTTTTGATAATAACCGATTGGAAAAGTGGATGGTTTAGTGTGTCCAAAATGTCAAGGACGACAGCACAAACAACTATACAGGAACTGAGAAATTTCTTCGCTGATACAACTGTTCCTGAAATTTTATATACAGATAATGGCCCACCATTCTCTTCAGGGGAATTTAGTGATTTCTGTAGACGATGGGGAGTGAGATGGATATCATCTTCGGCGCATTATCCACAAAGTAACTCGTATGCTGAAAATGGAGTTAAACAAGCCAAGTCACATTTAAGGAAATGTTTTACTCGTGGGAAAATAGACTATGAGCAATGGACTAAAGGACTTTTACAAATTCGTAATACACCACACAAGTCAACAGGCTTATCTCCAGCTATTATTGTATATGGTCAAGCTGTCCGGGATACTGTTCCAGCTCATAAGAGTAGTTTGTCTAAAGATTGGCATAAAGAACTAAAGTGACTATGATAAACAAATTGCGAAGGAGCGACAAAGAATGGATAAGATTCGCCCAGGAAAGGAACTTCCTGTGCTAAAGATCGGAGATCCAGTGGTCGTCCAAAATAGACAATCCAAACGATGGGATAAATATGGTGTTATTCAAGAGAGAAACCTGAAGGTTAGGAAATATGTAGTACGTTTATCTTCTGGATTAATCACTGTACGCAATCGCAAAGACTTACGATTACGCTACCCACCAAAACATCAGAATGGCGGAACATCACTCTGGTTACCCGTCATAGATTATCAAAATGATCCAGATAAACACTTGAAACCAGTTCAACAATCTAGTCAAGATAATCAGCACAATGACAGCGATTCTGATAGTGATGACGAAGATGATTATAGACCCAACATAAATGATACAAATGGAGAAGTCAAGTTATATCCAAATGCAGAACAACCTGAAATTCCAGTAGAGGAAGCAGTCCATGTTCCTGTTCCAAAACCAATTTTGAAACGTCCCAAGACAAGAGACCAAACTCAACCAGTGAGAATATCATCGCGTGCAAAGCGAATGCCTGTGAGATTTAAAGACTATGATTTAAAATAAGTTTCAAAATTCAGTTTAATAGTTTCATATATATATATATGGACACAGGCATAAACAATAGTTTAAAACAATTATGTGAAATGTGAATTTATACTATGCTTTCATTTCAGCTTTATATAAGGGAAGGAGATGGAGGATATTCAGACTCATACGCTTAAATGTAGTCTGGATATCATAACAGAGTAATGTCCCTTTAAGACGAATTGACCAAGGAGGTCGTTTAGTCCTATTCTATGATTTAATCTAGTCCGCATGTCTTGAAACACTGCTGTGTATATAATGTTTAGTTTACAATATAATTAATACTTTAATGAAGTCTTCTCTGTTATAACATGTTCACCAAAGAACATACCAGTTATTAAAAAGAGTGACAAAGGTTCATGTTGCGTCATTCTGAATAAGAAGGATTACGTTTCAGAACAGAGAATCAACTGAATAATCATTATGCCATTTTACCGAAACCAATTTTCAAAGAAACTGCTAACATGATTAACAATATTCTTGCCGATTTAGTCAAAACTAGTTATCTCAAACAGAAACAATATGACTATCTGTCTGCCAAACCTGATTGTCGCGAGAGACATTGGTACACTTTGCCTAAAATCCATAAGAATACAACCAAGGAGTGGTTTATCTCGAATAAAATCCCTAAAGGCCGCCCGATTATATCTGACTGTGGTAGTGAGTCATATGCAGTGTCAGAATACATAGATTATTTCTTATTACCTCTAGCATGTCAACATCACGCCTACCTTAAAGACACAACCGATTTTGTCAATAAATTAAAAAATCTTCGAGTTCCCTCTAATGCTATTTAATTTCTATCGACGTTTCTTCTATGTATACCAATATTGATAACACTACTGGTTTAACGGCAGTTCGTAAAGCTTTTAATAGAAACCCAGATCCAAACAGACTCGACGATGCAATTCTACAGGTTTTAGAGATTTGTCTTAGTCGAAACGATTTCACATTTAATGGTAAAACATATTTACAAACTTCAGGGACAGCCATGGGCAAACGATTCGCCCCTTCGTACGCAAACCTTTTCATGGCAGAGTGGGAACGTGAGGTGTGGCCCCTCTGTCCATTTGACCCACTTTTTTACGGACGCTTTTTGGATGACATTTTTATGGTTTGGACTTATTCTATCGAACAGTTTTGGGAATTCTTTGGAATTCTGAACAACCACCATCCTTCTATCAAACTAACCGCAAACGTGAGTGACAAAAGCATAGACTTTCTCGATACCCCTGTCTTTAAGGGAGATTCCATAGCAGAAACAAATAAACTGGATATTAAAGTGTATTTCAAAGAAACTGATACTCATCAACTCTTGCACAAGAGCTCCTTTCACCCAAAACATACCTTTTCTGGTATAATTAAGTCACAAGTTTTACGATTTCATCGAATTTGTACAAGATCTTCTGGTTTCAACCAAGCCTGTACGATTGTTTTCTCAAAACTGAAAGAGCGTGGGTACTCTAAACGATTTTTACGAAACATAAAAAATTCCATCTTAGCACAGATAGCAGCTAAAAACAGACTTTATGCCGAAGTACCTCCAGGTTTAAGAAGTGCTCCATGTTTGTCCAGTAGATGCAAAACATGACCCTTTATATCAGAAACTCATTATTTTGTAAGCAACTCTACGAATAAAAGGTACCCGATCCAGGAACATCTAACATGTGAACATTCGAATGTAATATATTTAATTTCATGCAAGAAATGCCCCAAACAATATGTAAGGAAACTAAGAATAATTTACGAATTCGCTTTAATGCTCATAGGAAAGACATCAAATTAAAGAAAGACAAGCCTGTTTCTAATCATTTCAACCTCGACGACCATTCAATAGACGATCTCACCCTAATCCTAATTAAGCGTATAGAAATTGACTTGCCCGAAGATGAAACTACCAAATTCCGTCAATCTAGGGAAGCCCATTGGATTGAGACATTGAATACAGCAAGACCTATAGGACTAAATATTCATCATAATGTAGGGATAGCACCCTTTGTTGTCCCGTTCAATACAACCAGCAATCGAGCAAGCAAGATAGTTCATGCCCACTTTAAGAGCCTTCAAGAGAAATTCCCCCATGCATATTCAAAAAATAAGAACTTCAATGACAATATTGTTCATAGTAAACTAAAAACAATCAGTACATAACAGATACTATACTTATTTTTTCTAATTTCAGATCAGAATAAGAACAGAAGAAAACCCAATATCAACACCCTTAATCCTAATTTCTAAATAAAGTGTCTGCTCCACCCTAGGCCTGTACATTTGGGAGAATCAAACCCTCCCTTCCACGAAATGTAAACTACAACCTGTAAATAGAAAAGGTGGAAATCTTAAACCCGAAGAGATATTTCGTGCTAAAAATTTGTTGTTTCGGAAAATATAACATGGTTTTAACACTGATGATAAATCTCTTATTGGAATTCAACTATTTAAAGATCCGAATGAAATACATAAAGCCAAAGGAAGACTTGACAATGCTGAAAAATTGCCTTATGATATTCACCACCCAGTGTTTTTACCCAAAAATCATATTTTGGTACGACGTATGTTAGAATCCATGCATCGAAAACTAGGCTATCCAGGTTACAAAAGACTAGTAGATGAACCTCGCCATAAGTATTGGATTTTAGGTGTAAGAGACCTTGCCAGATCTAAATATTTTTCCTGTTTAATTTGTAAATGAAGACGCCAACCATTATCTGGTGAATAAATGGGATTGTTTCCAAATTATCACGTGGATTTTAATACACCTGCGTTTAGTAATACATCTGTTGATTTGTTTGGTCTTTTAAAAGTTAAGATTTAGTCGGGGCTGTTATGTAGCCTGTTGCGATTGGGAGCAATGTCTCCATTAAATGTTAATGGTTGGTAACAATCAACTTCTTTAGTCCAACCGCTCATTAATGGGTCTAACACACACGGTTCGTGGTTCACTGCGTTTCGCCAGATAAATGTTTGATGGTGTGCTCTTAAAAGATGCTGGATTAGGGAACCTTTAGTTGGTGGGATTTTCTCACACTGATCAGGATGCCTGCAAAAACTCTTCCACCTTGCCTCTTCTAAAGATTGACTTCCTGGACAGTAACAATTAGCAACAAATATTGAAAGGCTATCAACAATGTAGTCGTCAAGAGTTTCAAATTCTCCCAGATTGCAGAAAGCTGATACGATAGATGGTGAACATTTTTGAAACTGTTTCCACCAAGTGGTTTTAGATTTTCCCGCAAATTTACCTACAGTATCGCAACCAATAAAAGCATGAAATCCAGCAAGAGCTTTACTTCTATCTTTTCCTAAGATTTGATAGATCTTTTGAACTTCTACTCGCCTTGAACGTGTTAATTCTACAAAGCATTTTGTTGATAACATATTTGCATGAGTGACGGAAATCACAAGGACATCAGTGTTCGGAGAAAAGAAAACGATGGGTGAAGAAGGATCTCTGGAAATATCGACTGCATGTAAAATCATAACAGTACCTGCTTCTTCGTGGTTATATTCTGTAAATCGTATCGTTCCTATGTTACTTCCATTGAATGAAATGGTAAATAATCTCTTCTCAGCCTGGAGCATTCTACTGGCTTCATAAGCAAGAAATGTTACTATTTGCTTCTTTGTTTCAATGTGAGACAAAAGTCTTTTAGTAGTTAGTTTAGAAATATCGAATGTACCTGATATTTTATATATCACTGCAGCAGATCCATTGTTACGCCGATCTCGGGTGGCAGACTTTAAACTATTGCTTTTATAGGAGTCAAAAACTAAGCGAACCTATGAAAACCCAACCGATTTCTTAAAGATTCTAGACACGAATTCATTTGCAAAGTCTTGAAACGTCTTTAGCTTTGAAGATTTGATATATATCATTTGGACAATGACCATTGCATCTATTATAGCAGCACGATTTGCATCACCACTGTTAAACGTATCATCTGTCACACCTAAGTCAGTTAAATGTCGTATAGTTGCGACTTCCCGCTACCACCAGATATAAAACTTCCATCGTTGTTCATGAAACTTCTTGGAATAACTGCAAGTATCTTTCTATTGTCGATTTCATGTCAATATCTCTTGAAGACTTACCCACTATTGCACATCTTGCAAATAATCCACGATGTTCCTTCAACTCAATAGTCTTGTCCTTTAGTTTGTGAGTGCCAATTTTTCCGTGTTTCCCAAAAGTTGGAATATTTACCTTCTGCAATGAATTCCAAATTCATTGTGAAGCATCTTAACCTAAACGATTCTTGATAAAATCTGAATAAAGACTTTGTCCTTTATCTTCTACCGCTACTAGTTCTGAACTAGCTTTGTCAGATAGAGCAGTTTTTGTCATTATGTTGTAAGCATTGGTAGTACATGGTGGAAATGAAAAAATATCTGTTAATTCTTCTCCAAACGTGTTTTCGAACTTTCGTAATATATCAGTTTGACGTCTCTTAAAAGATGCATTATTCTGATGGTGTGCTGAAGAGTGACACGATTGCAATGACAAGTTGTTTAAATATCCCTTTGAAATATCGGCAAGGATTGGAGCTACCAGAAAGAATCGCGCATTTTCGTTGTTGGAAATTCCAATCTAACCATCTTCTACCTTCATAATTTTATTCACCTGTTCACCGGCATGATCCATTCCAATCGATGTGAACGGAATCGAGGTCTATATTCCAGGGTCAGATTGTTCCAAACTTTTCATATCAGCGATATAGACAGGTAACATTCTTCTATATTTTATACGATCCATACTGCATATATCTTGACACATTAGTGTTGATGCCTCTAAATGAAGCTTCAATCCCGTTGGCGAGTTGCTTGAATAAACAGCAGAAGGCGTTCAATCATTCGCATATACACTCTTAGAAACTGGAACATTTGGTTGCTTTTCATACAGTTGTCAAAGGAGTCCATTGTTTAAATTAAATGGCAGGACTGAATTTCTTGTTGCAACTTGTTGTGGCCACTCTGAACACTCACCTTACTTTATTGATGGGAGTTATTCACTTGATCATTTATAGCTTGATACAAACTACCGGATGGTCCAAGAAATTTTTCTGGAAATCTTGCTTGCAGTCCGATGAAATAAAACTTATACAAGATAACTAGTGTTGTTTCATGCGCAGACACAGATCTCTTCATGTAGGAGCAATTAATAATTTGCCTTATTGTATTAGGGCCATAAACATCAGCTTCTAGCCAACCGTCGTCTATTCCTGAATGTTCAATAAAAGACCCTATGGCTCGTAAATGTGCAAATATGGTATGAAGTTCACCTATGCGTATGATAAATTTATTTCTAAGATCAGTTCTGCAATGTACAAGATTATAAGCTCTAGTATATAAATCAGTGCACACCAAATTCTGCTTAGCACATGAACATCGTTTTGTTGAACAACCAGATAAAGAGCAATTGCACTTAACAAGTTCAATAATTTGATTGGGAGCAATGTCTCCATTAAATGTTAATGGTTGGTAACAATCAACTTCTTTAGTCCAACCGCACATTAATGGGTCTGACACACACGGTTCGTGGTTCACTGCGTTTCGCCAGATAAATATTTGATGGTGTGCTCTTAAAAGATGCTGGATTTGGGAACCTTTAGTTGGTGGGATTTTCTCACACTGATCAGGATGCCTGCAAAAACTCTTCCACCCTGCCTCTTCTAAAGACTGACTTCCTGGACAGTAACAATTAGCAACAAATATTGAAAGGCTATCAACAATGTAGTCGTCAAGAGTTTCAAATTCTCCCAGATTGCAGAAAGCTGATACGATAGATGGTGAACATTTTTGAAACTGTTTCCACCAAGTGGTTTTAGATTTTCCCGAAAATTTACCTACTGTATCGCAACCAATATGAACATCTACTCGCCTTGAACGTGTTAATTCTACAAAGCATTTTGTTGATAACATATTTGCATGAGTGACGGCAATCACAAGGACATCAGTGTCCGGAGAAAAGATAACGATGGATGAAGAAGGATCTCTGGAAAAAAACGACTGCATGTAGAATCATAACAGTACCTGTTTCTTCGTGGTTATATTCTGTAAATCGTATCGTTCCTATGTTACTTCCATTGAATGAAATGGTGAATAATATTTAGATTGGACGAAACTTACCTGTAAGTTGAAGTTCGATCATGATTCTATCAGCCAATCTTTAGTGACGAGGGATTATGTGAGATAGCAGCACGCGCCTCAATACATCAGGATTTAAAGTGAACGAGTGTAGACAGATAGTGACGAATGGGAGGGAATGTAAGACTAAGTGGAGGGCACATAATCCCTCGTCACTAAAGATTGGCTGATAGAATCATGATCGAACTTCAACTTACAGGTAAGTTTCGTCCAATCTAAATATTCTATCAGCCAATCACGTGACTACGTGATTCAGTGAGACTTCAAAGCCTGTCTGCACTCGTGACATATCAAAATCACTAGAAAACAAGACAAAATATTTATCTTAACCATAAGACTTTAATAAATCTAAGCATTCAACACACATTTATCAAAGACATTTTCTTTAATGATAACTTTATTATAATAGGTCGAAAATATCCTTTCCGATTTCCAATCTGCCTTATTCATAATATCAATAATTGGAACATTCGCTTCCTTAGCAGTGGAGGTGGAAGCAGCTCTAGTACTATGTGCCTTGAATCGATTCACATCAATGCCTGCTTTCTCTAAGCCCACTTTTGTCCACCGAGATATTGTGTCCCTGCAGACCTTTTTATGTGGTTTTACATAAGCAATAAACAAAGCACTCTCACTTTCTCTTAAGCTTTCAGTTTTCTTAATATATTCCTGTAACACAGTGACGACACACAGACGCCTATCTGGCGCATAAGCTTTGAAATTCAAAATTACCGGTTTCCTACCAGCTCTAGATTGTTTAACATGTTGCGAAATGTGAAATTTATAAACACTTTTTGATTGGTTAATTGGTAACAAATTCAAATCCAGAAAATGTAATGTTTGCCCTCTCTGGGCAGAAACTATTAGCATAAGAAGAACGAGTTTAATTGTTAAGTCCTTTAAAGAAAGTGATCTCACGGGAGATAAAGACCGAAGATAGTTTAAAACAAAACGTACATCCCAGACGCTATCATACCTAGGTAGCGCTGGTCTATTATAAAAAATTCCTTTCAGAAGTCTACAAACAATAGGGTGAGATCCAATACACTGTCCATCAATGAAAATGAAAGTAGATAAAGCGGAACGGGCAGTATTTATAGCAGTGTAACTGAGTCCGTTATTAAACAAATCTAACAGAAAATCCAATATTTGTGCTAGAGATGGTCTAGAGACATTAATCTGTTTTTTACTACAAAAGTTTGACCACGATCGCAAGTAACAGGAGTACTGCTTCTTTGTTCCAAGTTTCCAGGAATCAAGGATGATATTGGTTGCCTCTTCAGAAATTCCTCTACTTCCGAGGGAATCCCGGATACCATGAAGGCTGTCAGCTTCATTTTCTGCCAAAATGGATGTATTTCCCCGTTTATAGATGTTACCAGTGACTTCTGCTTCGGTAGTATTAATGGCCTACAACATAAAACAATAAGAATTTGAGAGAACCAAACTTGAGTTGGCCAAAGTGGTGCTACAATGATGCCTCTACATTGATCAGATTCGATTTTTTTGTATACATCTAGACAAGAGGCAAAAAGGAGGAAAGCAATATACGATTTCTTCATGCCAGTCATGTGTGAAGGCATCAATAAAGGTGGCATTTGGGTCAGGTTTCCAAGCTGACTACCTATCTAGCTTAAAGTTAAGTCTAGAAGCAAACAAGTCGATTGTAGGTGAGAAATTTAGATACTTTAAGATATTATTAAACACATCCTTATTCAGAGACCTTTCAGTTCGGTCTGAAGTTAAATCTCTCGAGGCTGCATCAGCTACATAGTTCATTTTTCCCGCTATGTGAGAAATGGTAATCCAAATATTATGTGAATCGCACCAGTCAAGGCAAGATAATGGATTTTTCTGAACCATATAAATTGTCTTGCCACCAAGAGATTTCTTCTCCAGCTGATCTACTTAATATCATACTTGCATCAAAATTCCATGCATTGTGAAACGCATGAAACGCTGTGAAACGCATTCTTCAAATCAATGGTAGCCATAAACATGTCCGGCTTAATAATATCGCAAACGGACTGAAGGCTTCCATTTTAAAATGGTGGTGTTCTACGTCTTTATTAAGTTCTTTCAGGTTAAGAATGAGTCGATAGCTCCCGCTCTTTTTCTAACTAACTAACTCGTCAGATGTGGCTATTTTCTCCACGGGAGCATTGTTATGATCAAGTGAGGAACCTTGACTTTTATCATCTAGCACTGTGTCTATCAGCTTGATAACCGGGTCTACGTCGGTATTGTTTACCGTTCTAAATTGACCCGCATGTACTGAATCTGAGTCGTCGTCTTCATCGTATGAAAAATCCGATTCGTAACTTCTCTGTTGATTTGAAGCTATTTGATTTCCTCGACTGCTGATCGAATTGACTATGGAATTCTTCATGTCTCCGACCGAAGAGCATAGACTTTTAATCTCCGTAAGGAGGGCTGTAGAGAGATGAGAGTTATCGCCCTTAACCTGGGATGTTGACGGTTGATCAATGTTCGTGACATTGTCCGGTGAAATCGGCTTAGCAGACTTCTCTGGATTTTTTCCCGAAGCTTTGCTTCTCGACTTGGATCCCTTTTTCGCTGTCGAAGCTTCCGATGGCGAGGGACTCGGTGACAGTTCGTGTGCAGGGCGATCATGCTTTCTGTACTGATGTCTGTCTGATGTTTCTCGGAGTGGCTTGATCGACTTTAGCCGATTTTAATATTGCGTCAGCCATGTGAATTCTGTTAAGAATTATATGGCCTAAGTTAGAACAGTATGCAATAACAATATTAATTGTTGTAATTCGGAGAGCGTAACGCCAAGGAATCCGAAATTGCAATAGAATAGAGCTCAGTTATGAGCGTCACATCAGTATGAGATCTAACGCCGCACTGATGTATTCAGGCGCGTGCTGCTATCTCACTGAATCACGTAGTCACGTGATTGGCTGATAGAATCTCTTCTCAGCATGGAGCATTCTACTGGCTTCATAAACAAGAAATGTTACTATTTGCTTCTTTGTTTCAATGTGAGACAAAAGTCTTTTAGTAGTTAGTTTAGAAATATCGAATGTACCTGATATTTTATAATTCCTAACGTCATAAAGCAATTTTTTTTTATATTATAAAAGGTGTCCCCTATCTATATACTCATAATACTCCTTTGCCTGCAGCGCCCCAAGCCCACCAAACAAACAGCCCCCACCAGGCATGCGGTTAATAAACCCGGAGCCTATAGGGGTACAAGTTTACCAAGCCCCCAAGCGCCCCAGCCCTATAATATCTTCAAATTAACTCATTTAAAAACAGAATGAGTTTAATTTTAAAACACGAACAAAAAAAATTCTAAGGAGGCGGTTTCTTCTCAGCTCTATCATCTCTCATCCCAAAAGTAGCCAACTTTGTCTCAAACAACAAATCCCTCATTTCCTCAAGAGCGCAAGCTGTTGAATCTGTTGCAAAAGCAGGAGTAAATATTAGCGAAGCAGTGAAAAGATCTAACGACTTGAAAGAATTACAACATATAAGAGAAATGCGAAATAAAAGATTAGAAAATAAAAAAGGCAATGGTTTAAAACTTATTGGATAAAAATGTATATGATAATTGCTCAAACTCCCAAAAATTATTTCGGTTCTGACATTCAAAAATCATTAGCTTCTCTTCCTGGATTTCCTTGGGCAAAATACCCCGGAGAAAAACATCTTCCCGGTCATAATTATACTGGTCCAGGTACAAGGTTAGATCTGCGATTAGACCAAAATGATAAACCCAAAGCGGGTGAAGAACCCGTTAATAGAGTTGACGCCGCTGCACTTAAACATTATATTTTATACAGAAATAAAGATATAAAGTTTAGACACGAAGCAGACAAACAAATGATAATCGAATTTGAAAATATTCCAAATCCAACTTTCAAAGAGAGAATGCAAAGAGCATTAATCATTAAACTCTTGAAAGCAAAGATGAAAATGGGTATGGGAATAGCAGATGAAATACACAAAGAATTTAGAAAAAAACAAACATTTTTTAAAAGTCAAAGTGTTTTATAAAGATGAAATATGGTCAGCTGATTTAATTAATATGCATGTTGAAAGAGGATATAAATATTGTTTAACCGTTATAGATTTGAACACAAGATATACTTGGGTTATTCCTCTCAAAAACAAAACAAGTTTATCAGTCAAACACGCATTTGAAACAATAATGAATCAATCCGACAGACGACCTCAAAAGTCATGGGTAGATAAAGGAAGCGAATTTTTATACGCCCACATGAAATGGGGGGCGTATATTGCCTTCACCTCATTCCGTCGGTCCGTCCGTCCGTCCACAATTGCTCGTAAACACTCTACAAGACACAATTCTTGGCGGATTTTGACAAAACTTGGTATGAGTGTTCGTAATCACCCAAGGATGAACCCTATTGAAAATCAGAAGAATCGAATAATATTTAGTATAAGTTATTGCCCTTGTTCTTGAAAACGCGTTTAATTTTTAGCTCGTAAACACTCTAGAAGGGACATTTCTGGCATGAGTGTTTATTATCACCCAAAGATGAACCCTATTGTAAATCAGAAGAATCGAAAAATATTTAGTATGAGTTATTGCCCTTGTTCTTAAAAACGCGTTCAATTTTTAGCTCGTAAACACTCTAGAAGGCACAATTCTTGATGGATTTTGACGAAACTTCGCATGTGTGTTTGTTATCAACCAAGGATGAACTCTATTGAATATCACAAGAATCGAAAAATATTTAGTATGAGTTATTGCCCTTGTTCTTGAAAACGCGTTCAATTTTTAGCTTGTAAACACTAAAGGCATGATTCTTGCTTGATTTTGACAAATCTTGGTTTTTTTATTCAGTCATGTGCTGAAGATTGAATATTTGCCTTCTAGAGTTTTCACTAGCTAAAATTTGAACACGTTTTCAAAAACAAGGGTAATAATTCATACTCAATATTATTCAGTATTGCCCTAAAGAGTTCAAAAAATACGTAAAACTCCATTCATTTCATTTTAAAGAGTTCAAAAGAGGTGTATGACTGAAGGTAAAATATTTTATACTGGTGATTGTTACTGTACTGCATAATATTTATATTCAAAATCAAAGCTGCCAGTGGGTGTATATTACCTTGCCTTGCAAGATAGTTTGTCGAAGTTAGTTTTGGTAAAACCTACCTTTTGTCAATGACCAACATATGACCCTTCTCGAATTTGCTTTTAAATTTGAAAATACGAACACGATCTCAAATTTTAAACTTTTCTTTAGTGTCTATAATTTTTATTTCATTTTCAAAATCATCAAGGGTAGAAGGAAACTTTATAATATTCGGATGTTGACTTTCAGTGGAGGAGATGGAAGAATGAATTTTAATATTGTATTCTGATACTACAGTTCTTCCCGATTTGCACCTTTTTTTATTTTGTCCCTTTATTTTTATTTTGCTCCTTTCCCATTAAGCTACCTTTTCATTTCGTCCCTGTCCCGTTGTAACCCCCTTCCCAGTTTGCCTCTTCCCATTTCGCCCCTTTCCCATTTTTCAATGCACTTACAAAAGAATTGGACATTCCAGCTTACTCTTATCAAATTCCTACTGCTCCAGTATTAAAATGCACAAGGGGCCGGAATTCAAATCGGAACTAGCATAATTAATTATGTGGTCTAATTATATAAAAGGAAGGGGCGAAGTGGGAAGGGGCGAAATAGGAAGGGACAAAATGGGTATGGGGCGAACTGGGAAAGGGGCGAACTTGGAAAGGGGCGTTATGGGAAAGGGGCAAAATAGCAAGGGGCGATATGGGAAAGCTTCGTAGTTCAAAAAAAGGAACAAGATTTAAAATTTACTCTCGCTTAACTCTTCGTTCTCCATCGTAAAACTATCACCGTTCTAGCTTTGTCGATTTCGAAATAGCCCGGAAATTCGGCGTAGACGTTGCAAGTGATGGTTTCCTAAAGCGACTTTCCGAAGTGCGCTTCAATACGTAGGTTCCCTTGTTTTTGTAGAATCAGATATTGGATGCGTTCGGGACTGTCGAATACCGGATCTAGGGTTTATTTATATATCGCCCTTTCCCAATTCGGCCTCAATTCATTTCCATTTGCCGCTTTTCCCATTTCGCCCCTTTCCCATTTTCAA